GGAATGTTGCCTCAGTACTGCCAGGTATGAGTCCAGATTTTTCCCTCTTCTTTCATTGACACCCATGTGGGGGAGAGGGGCGCCTCCTTACTGCTGGGTATTGGTAGAAATTCTGGCTTCCCACTAGAGCTGGGAGGGGTAGGAATGTCTTATTACTACTCCCCACATGGTCTCTACTGACACTGTGGGTGAGGACTGCCTCTTTACTGCCTAGCAGGGATGAAAGTCCTGATTTTTTATCTAGCCTTCTCTGACACAACCCCAACAGAGGTGTTAGGGCAACTTTTTATAGTCTGGTGAAGGTAAAAACCATAGTTTTTTTCCTGTGGTTTTTTGTAGTAGTAGGGAAATTACTTTCTAAAAGGTTTCTTTCTGACTGTACCGTCCCTTTCCTAGTCCTATGGCTAGAAAGAACAAGATTTTGTTAGGACTTTTTATGTTCACATCTGTTCACATTTCTGGAACTTCTTTTTGTTGTTTTTTGGCAGCTGGCCGGTCTGGGGATCAGAACCCGTGACCTTGATGTTATAAGGCTGTGCTCTAACCAATTGAGCTAACCAGCTGGACCTGTTGGCATTTCTGGGTTGATGGCTTCCCCAGCACCCATCTCAAATGTGTCTGGAAAAAAAAAAAAATAAAGAAAACCCCGTAACTCACTGCCATGCCCTTCTTTGGGTACTGAGGTCTCTAGCCTGTTTGACTTCATTCTCTATTTTTCAGGGTCTTCATATGTTAATTTTATATATAATGTCCAGGGTTTTTAGTTGTAATTAGTAGGAAGAATAGGGAAAGTACATGTTTTCCAGCTTCTTGGGAGCAGAAGTCCTATCTTCTCAGTTTATATAGTCTTTATGTATTTCACATTAAGTAGTTTTAGAGCATACCAGAGCTCTGAGATAACTTTTGTAGAAAAATCTAAATTACCTTAGAATGGGTCTAATGAAAAGGCTGAACTTTTTCTTGAAGAATCATGTTGTATTTAATATAATTTGACCTAAAAATTAATGCTATCTCCTTGGATTAAATACAAAACTTTTTTTTTTTTTAATTTTTTTTTTTTTAAAGATGACCGGTAAGGGGATCTTAACCCTTGACTTGGTGTTGTCAGCACCACGCTCTCCCAGTGAGCAACTGGCCATCCCTATATGGGATCCGAACCCGTGGCCTTGGTGTTATCAGCACCGCACTCTCCCGAGTGAGCCACAGGCCGGCCCACTATAGATTAATTTTGCCTAAACTTAATGAACATGGAATCACACAGTTTCCACTATATCTGCCTTCTTCTACTCATCATTGTATGTATTTCACATTAAGTAGTTTTAGAGCATACCAGAGCTCTGAGATAACTTTTGTAGAAAAATCTAAATTACCTTAGAATGGGTCTAATGAAAAGGCTGAACTTTTTCTTGAAGAATCATGTTGTATTTAATATAATTTGACCTAAAAATTAATGCTATCTCCTTGGATTAAATACAAAACTTTTTTTTTTTTTAATTTTTTTTTTTTTAAAGATGACCGGTAAGGGGATCTTAACCCTTGACTTGGTGTTGTCAGCACCACGCTCTCCCAGTGAGCAACTGGCCATCCCTATATGGGATCCGAACCCGTGGCCTTGGTGTTATCAGCACCACACTCTCCCGAGTGAGCCACGGGCCGGCCCTAAATACAAAAGTTTGAATGTTAGAAACAACTCTGGACTAGCAGTTAGAGACCCAGGTTCTAGTTCCAGAATCTTCTACTGTCTAGTTCTGTGACCTTGGGCAGATCTCTTTGCATCTCAATATTCTCCTCAGAATTAAGAGCGTTGAACTCATTAGATGATCTCTAAATTTCCTTCCAGCTCTAACATTTTTATTTTCCCCTCACCAATTCTATTGCTTTTTAAAAAAATATTTAGACCTTGTGTCATACTGTGTGGGAAATATATTGGTTAAACCAAGTAAAATTTTCCAAGTTAGATCTAGACAAATAAGGACAGCTATTATTTACAGATTGCCTACTGTGTTCTAGGCACTATAGTAAATGTTTTATGAGTATTATCTCATCTAATCCTCAAAACAATCTATTGAAGTAGAGGTTACTCCCATTTTATCGATAAGAAAACTGAGTCTCAGAAAGATGAAAAACGTGTCCAAGAATACTTTATGGTGAAGATGTAGTTGATTCTAAGTTTGTTTGATTCTGGAGCTGATGTTTGCAACCCTTACATATACTTTTTATTTTTATTATTTTGGCTACTTTTCAAGAAGCAAATTACTTTATAAAAGTGAGATAAAGTAAAGGTTCTGGGCAGTTAAGTGATACATTTTGTTTTTAATTTTTCTAATCACTTTATTCTGCTTGGATTCATTTTTAACAATGTAAATCATAAATATAGAAATGCATACAGCTAGTTTTTTCTGTTTATTCTTATTATCCATCACTTGTTCATTATGGGAAGCATTATCACCCTAGAGAGGCAAAGAAATAAACTGAGGAAGGCAATCTATCATTCCTCAAGAACAAAAATTTAATTTGCCACCTTTCCATAAACTTTTATAGTGTCTCAGGAGAGTCTCAGGAACTAGAAGAAATATACTATCTTTATGTGTAAATTTTACTTGCTTCTGGAGAATGGATAAGGAATCATTTGCAAGACTATTTGAGCTAATCAAAAGGTGGAGGTCAAGAAGAAATTAAAAATAAGAAATAGAGGAATTGGTAAAATAGGGCAAAAATGACAAATTTAAAAGTATACAATAAATTAAGCACTTTAACATGATACTTTTTTCTAAAATTATCTTATAAAAATATTGTTTGGTTTTAAGTAAATTGAATGAGCATTCATTATAAATGGATTCTTAAATACTCTGCAATTTGTTGAGATCTTGTTTTCCTAGAATTAAAACTGTGTTGAAAAATGATTTATCCTCTTCTTTGAAATCAATTAATGCCTTGTCTACGTTTATGTGGCAAAAGACCATGAAGAACTTATAATATTATGATTAACAAAGAAGGGAGGGGATAACAATATGAGAAGTCAGGACTACAATTTTATGAATCCTTATTTTATCCTTTTCTTTCATTTTGAATTCCCCCTAACTTTCCACTGGCTTACGCTATGAGATTTTCTATGTCAATCTTCAGGGGTATTCCAAAGGAGGTTACTCAAATTTCACATTACTGTGTGTTCTCGGAATCACTGAGAGAACTAATTGTGATGTAAAGAGTTGATGCAACATCATTCTTTGTAAGGACTTAGGACGCTGGTAATTGGCTTTATAATCTTGTTCTGAGATACTGTGCTTTTCTAGGAAAATGATTTTCTCTTCAGAAAGTTACCATGATTTTGGTAGATAGAAAACTGGTTCCAGGTCAGAAGTTTTGTTTTTGGCCATAAACCCATGTAGTCCCATATTGGACAGATAAAAACTGCTCAATTTTGGGTGGGGTGGAAGCAGAATAGGGGTACAGCTCTGTCCCTTTGTCACCCCACTCACGCATAAAGCATTTTCTATTAAACCTCTTAAGAGTGTAGGAAGCACAACTTGAAAAATCACCAGTGAAATAAAAAGATCACTAGCTTAGGAATCCGAAAACCTAGAGTCCCAGTTCTACTGTCAGCAAGCTGTATTATGGAACCTCTGTGGGTCCAAATTTCCTCATCTGTGAAATAAGATTGAATTAGGTCTCTTTCAACTCAGATATCGGAGGGAACTTAGCAACTACATGTAAATCACACAACCCCTGTGCTTTATTCATTCTCTACTGCAAAATAAGATGCTTACTGAAGGGTAAAATTTGATTTGCATGCCTACCTCAAAGTTCTAAGTAGGAGGGTATTTTTTATTTTTATTTTTATTTATTTTTTTTCCTTTTTGTCTTTTTTCGTGACCGGCAACGGATCGCAACCCTCAGTGTCGCGCCCGTACCGGACCGGGACCGGCTACGGGATCGCAGCCCTCGGTGTTGCACCCGCACCTCGCTCAGCCAGTGAGCGGCCGGTCTGTATGTGGGATCCGAACCCTCGGCGGGAGCACCGCCGCACTTCCCAAGTGGCGCACTGTAGCAGTGCGCCACCGGGCCGGCCCAGGAGGGTATTTTTTAAATCTTAAAAATGTAAAAGGTGTTCTAAAAAAATTGTAATATAAATATAAATATAAAATATAAAGTTGTCCTGTTTAAGCAACTGCAATATTTCTCTCATCCAATTTTGAATAATCAATAGTATTTCATTGATTCATTCATATTGAGTGCCCACTCCTTGACAGGCACTGAGTTAGGTACAGACGATAGAGAAGATGACTAAAAAATGTCCATTACTCTCTCCCCGAATACAAAAGGTAATGTGTTATTTTCAATAGAACCTTACTGATTGTGTGTGATGCTGTATTCTTTCTGAATGATGGCAATGGTGCTGCAAAGGGGCATTTAAAAACTAAATGAAAAGTGAAGTGGCACTGAGAAAGAACTATGTATTTAAAACAAGGTTATTTTCTCTAAGCAGAATGGCTTTGTTGTAATTGATCTTTGATCAACTTGAGTAAAGAGTATTTGGTTTCATAGAGTATGAAAAAAGCTTTGCTTTCCCAATAAGCAGAATATCTCTTAGATATGAAGATGGTTCCATTGCCTACAAGGAGACTCTCTTTTAGGTACCACCCATATTAAACGAATAATTGTGGATTACTACTGGTTTGAGATGCACTGGGGTCAAGAGATGGAAGAGTTTTGAATGAAGACGCCAAAAGGGGGCTTTGAGGATTTAGAAGGGAATTGTGAAAGGCCCATTCCCATTCCCTCTAGACTTAAACCCAAATTCCCTAGCCTGACACCAGCAACAGTCTTCGGGTATATTTTCCTTTGTTACTCAGACTAGTAGATCTCCCACCAGGCTCAATTCACAACTGCATACCCACTACCTTTGAGAGTGACTCTCCCCAAGGCAGAGTGGACATCCACCTGTCACTCTAGACATGGCAACCCTCACATACTCAGCCAACTGCTGACTCACGCTCAAGGGCCACCATCATCACCCACCCCAGCACCATCTTCCAGGAACTGGCCTCTCCCCCATTAGTCCCCGCCCCTCTTCTGAGAGCACCCAATGGGGGAAGTCGGGGCTGCGGTGGGAGGGGCCTGAGGCGGGCACATTTAAAGAAAGGCAGAGGGCGAAAGGAGGCAAGAGAGGAGAAGAAAGAGAAACCAGGGGGCGAGGCGCCGTCCAATGACAAAGCCCAGGGGTGGGCGCCGGCCGCCATCTTGTACCGGGCGGCAGGATATTCACCCGCGTCCTCCGCCCTCGGAGGGGGAGGGGCGGCGGCAGAGGCGAGAAAAGTAGCGAGAGACGCGTCAGCGGCGGCCGCTGCCGCGGAGCTGGACGCGGGCGGGGACGGCGGCGGCAGCGGGACCCGGCGAGCGCGGG